CAGATGCTACAAGTGAGCTGAACAATCTTAGGTAATTAAATTGTAATAAAAAAATTGCTTCATTCATTAACTATGGTAATTGACCAAAAAGCAATAGGACACCTGCTATTTTCATTATAACTTCCCTGATAAAATTCAGGGTGCAATCTCCATGTGGAACAGGTCATCATATCTTTTTGCCCATTCCTCTAGGACCCACCTAGCATGAAATGTAGTCTCTGTAGATCTTTCAAAGGTCAGTGGGTGTTGCCTCGTATTTTGCTTATTTGTTATTTAAATGTGATAATGTACTGCCTTATTGTTATTTTTATTTATTATTTACAATGTGTCAATAGATGGAAGTGTCTCCCCTGCAGAGTACTGTCTGACAAACAGATGTACTGGAGATGCAGAAGAACACTTCTATTTTCCCAGTACAGGGCTTTTTTTTTTTTTTTTTTGCATCCTGCAAAAGAAGGATTTATTGTCTAACTGTATGGATGTCAATGCTGAGCCAATTCTGCAGCTCATTCAGACAGGATTCTTACTGCAGTAATATATTTACCCAAATAACAAGCATTGTGGCAATTGGTTGCAAGGATCCAACCAAACACATTTATCATAGTTTTAATTTAAGTAGTAATGAAGCATGAAAAAGTAACAAGAGCAAAAAATAAGGTGGATTCACATAATCATTTCAGTGAGTTTTTTACTGTAAAAATTACCCCAGAGCTCCTAAGTCGTATCTTGAGAATTTTAGCTAAGCTGCTTCTTGGCTGAGTTTTTTAAGGGCTCTGCTTACTTTCAATTTCAGCTGTACAACTTGTACAGCACATTGAATGATTTAACCAAGCAGATTTAAAGTTCAGTAGACAGTGTTCTTTGTTAGATTTTAGTCACATACCAAATTCAATAGACTCTGCTGCAGGCGTACGTCAAAATGCCAGGAAGGCATGAGACATTGTTGAATATGTTGGAGTTTATTGTTTAGAAAAAATTAAACTTGGTCTCTCATTCAATCTTTTTAATTAAATAGTCATACTCTAAAGCTCAAGGGACAAAGGAAAAAAGAGAGAAAAGGCAGTTGTTCTGTAAAACACAACAGATATTTCTTTATATCTGCACTGAAGAAGTCAATGTATGTCATCTTTCACAAAAATAAATACAAGTATTTTGGGTAAATGAATTACCATCACTACTACTAGCTATTACCTACATAAGATCATTAACAAACAAACAGCTTTCCTGCATAAATAGAGCTTTGTTTGTTTCTGCATAAGAACTGCCATCATATTCTCTGCTGGTGAGTTTTAGAAAACAAGTCTTAGATCTCTCTGTAAAGATCTCACACGAAAACTGTACAGCCATGTGTGATAGCTAGCTAGAAATCAAGGCATTTTTCTGCTCTCTGTCTGCAAATTTGTCCTTAAATATGAACACTGAGCAGACTGTATGCTAAATCCCAGGCATGAGCATTAAATTGCTTAAGCCCGGAGAACTGCCAGGATTCCACCGAGCCTCCCGTTCAAGGAATCCGCTCAAAGGCCACTATTAATAGTCTGACCACAATCCCAACCACTGGATTGGGAGTGGGAACACTTGAAAAGTGCTCCAAGTGTGGGCAACCACAGCACAGAGAACCAGGAGCCTTTAACTCCATGGCCCCGCACCGCTGGAAGGAAGTTCACTCCTTGGGGGTCGCGGAGGGAAGCAGGCTGCTCGCCAGCACAGTCATGGCTTTGCTCTGCTAAACCATCAAAGGAAGATTTTAATTTCAGACCATCCATGGGGTATGGTCCTTCCCACTCCCTGCCATGCTTTCCCAGACAGTAATGTATGTCACCAGCCAATATTAAAACTAACGATGGTTTTGGCTGCTCTCTGCCATTGTCTGTACGATCAAAATAACAACAGAAACGATAAATCTCTTTTATCCTAGTTAATGCTAAATTGTGTGACAGGAGTGCTTAATTCCTGCAAATGTAATGAGAATGAGAAGTGGTACAAATTCTAAGCCACTGAATTACAATCTTTAAATTGTAATCCTGTTTTCGTCCTTGCAGACTAATTCACAGTAACTTGCAGCAAATCACTCAGTAACTCTTTAGATTGGGCTTCTTAATATTCATATTATCAATTATCTATTTAATGGGGGTAGAGATAGCTCATTATTTCTCTTCATTCCAAATATTTTCAAATGCAAAGTGAAGTTTTACAAGGTTATGGTGAAAATACGCAATATTTTCTTACACCAAACTGTCCAGTCAGGAAAATCACCCTATTAGTGGTGATCAAGCAGCAGCCATGGTCTTACAGGCAGGAGCCTCCATCTGTTCTCTCTGAAACTAAGAGTTGTTTGGCCAGTTTGCCAGGGCAGGTCAATGCTGAGTGTGCTCATCTTTGGTAGTATTCAAACAATAAAATAAGGAAATACTTCTAATGCATCTACAGTTTGAGAAAGAAAGAAAATTAGTAGTTACTGCTCAGTACTTGGCAGTTAGGCTTAGGGCTTGGAAAAAACTAACTTAACCTGATATAGTCAATTTTCCCACTTACTTGCCTTCCCACTTGCATGGATTTTGCCTGTAGAGTTTGTTCATGAAACTAAGATTAACCTTCCCCATTCTAAAACTTTCCAAAGCCAGAGTAACTTTTGCAGTGGTTTTAAAATTAGTCCATTTAACATAAGACTTAAAAACAGGGCTTGCAAAGGTGTACCCAGTCTGGTCTCTAGTGTCCAAAATCAGCTGTTCTGGGATGAGCACAAGACACACACAACATCCTATTTTCCCAGATTGCTTTCCAGTCTCCAGACAGTTTTATCAGGAGGCTTCCCAAACCAGAAATGTCCATGTTGAAAAAACCTGAATGGATTTTCCTTGATGATGGATTTTGACCTCTCCATGCTTTGAACCCTCATAAACTTTCAGCATGCTGACAGGAGGAGTGTGTCAGGTTGAATATTCTGCAAGAGGGCATGTGATGGTTGGTACAGGTGCTGTACAGAAAAGGAGTGCAGTATTTAACCTTTTGCATGAATATATCAAAACAGGTACTTATCTGAGGGTTCAGTGGCTATGTGACAGTTTTATTCTTTTTTTTTTCAGCAGAAGTTAACTTTTTTATTTAGTTGAACAGGCTTGAAGTAAATTCTACCAACTTTCATTTTCAAACTACAATAGCCAATAATCACTTACAATCCAGGTGCTGGGGAGGTGTGCAAGAACCTTTTAAAATGTAAAATAACATGATTCTCTGACAAATAGAAAGGAAATCATTTTCAATCTAAAAGCAGTTGGAAAATTCATGATGTGTACTCATTAAAAGTGCCTTCAAGATATCAAGACAGGCTTTCTCTGTAAACGCCAGATGAATAAGAATGGTAAGTAGCACTATGATGTACAAAATGCTTCAATGAACACAGTTGGTTTTGGTTTATGCTGCTGGGTTGACTTTTTTTAATCAAATCTGTATTGCTTAAAAGAGTTGTATATGTACAAAAAGTAGGAAAGAAGTAGGGTAGAAAATCTAATCCCACCTCTGTGTCAAGACAGTAAAACCAGCAATATTGGTGTTGCTTTGTGACCAAATACTGGGACAGTGGAGGAAGCACCTTTTATTTTAAATTATTAGCTGCTTAAATGCAGCTTAAATACTGATTAAATACCTAAATCTCTATAAGGAGAAACAATATCAACTCTTTCAGCACCAAATTAACCCCCAAATTTTGCCCAACCTCAGTACTGCTGACAATCATTCATACAGGGCTGCAAAGGGGAAAGGGACTGTTGACTGAGTCAAACAGTCCTCACCTTGCTGCCAGCAGGAATAGAAGCACAGCTCTGAGTTATAATAATTCCTTTACATTATAAAAGTACTGAAGCTGCTCTGTCAAGATTTGGTCCAGTAGCTCCAAAGCCACTGTGAGCTTTACAATGGATTTCAAGAGGTGATACCCAAAATCAGTGATACTAAACAAAAAAGTTTGGAATGGAAATTCTACATATGATACTGTAGGGGATTAATTACTTTTTATTCAAGTGCCATTAAATTCACAAAGGGATCATCTAACAACTTTTTGTTCCAAGGACTCAGTTTCTTACAGCACCTGATGCTGGTACAGAATGCTCATGTACCCTTGTGTTTCCTTGGCTCTCAGATATTGACTGGAGATCTGTGTAATTAAAACCATGCTTCCTCACATGAATGCCTACTTGTCTGAGTAGGCCAGCAACTGCTCCTTATTAGGGTTTCTTAAGGGGGCAAAATTATTCCATAGTATATATATTTTGTCTCAATTTATGTAGATGACCAATTATCTTGTCATCTCCTTTTCTTTCACTCTGTTTCATGCCTTTAGCAGCAGAGGGCAGGGCCTGTGCAATGTCCACCTCCCACCTGGAAGACCTGAAATCAATCACCCTACTTGGGAACCTGGCTCCCACAAGGATTGTGTAACTTTCTAAAGAGGTGACCTTCCTCCACTGCTCAGGTTTCTGGTATCTCAGTCCATCTGTTTGGTCCTCTTGTGCTCCTGGCTTCCTTGGAATGGCCCTGGAGAACTTTAGTGCAAGATGAAAAAGATAAGGCCAATGGTCTTACCAATGTGGATTGAAAGGATTTGAAATCACCTTTACCACTTTTCTATGTTAACCAAAACTCCTGTCCAGTTAGGAACACTACAAGCATTTTGCATTTTTTAAAATAAAGTACCTCATAGTGGCAATAGCTTACACAAGTATAATTGCACTGTAGTTCTATTAAAAAAAAAGTAATGCAAAACTTATACTTTCTAATCATAATTCACAATAGTAATTGTGAATAATTTCAGAAAATCTCTGGCTTTTTTTATGGCTATTTCTACCACTGAGCTTGTGCACACTATATACACACTGTAGAAAATGTAAGACAACTTCTGTTGGAGCACAGATATATAAAAGTGTATCATCAACTTTTCACTTCCCATTGAGTGAAACAGCTATTGTCTGTACCTTCTAAACTACATAAATTCAGCAACTTACCTTTTGGATTCACACTCCTGCTTTACTGCACTCAAGCTTACAGACCTCTTGTATTTTCTGTTTATTGCCAGATCATTTACGCATATGCCCTGAATCCCTCCAGCTCCTCCATCCCATCCTCCCTGGGCTCCATCCGGCACGTGCATCCTCACATCCTGCCCCAGCCCCTCCATGGGCAGCCTGATTATGCACCAGCAGTTGACACAGAGCAGTGCTTTCCAAATTCTTGCTGTGAAAAGCTTTTGAGGTGTTTCAGTAGAAGGCTGCTGGTTGTGAATACGAAAGCAGGGGCTTTCCCCTGCGCAGAGGCCCCTTCTTAAGTATAAAGTACAAACAATGAAAATGAAAAGCAATAAAAAAAAGAAAGATCTGGGCTTTGAATGCTTCTTTGGGTCAAGCACTAAACCCTCTTTTGACAGCTACACAACCCACACTTGTTCTCCTCAAGAGAATTTGACCTCAAGTAAGGAATTGAACAAAGTGCATATTTTGTCTACAGTGGACAAATGCGTTCTAAAGCAACAAACTGCAGATAAAATATACAGATAAAGATAGGGCGAAAACCCCACACTTCCTAAAATGAAACCCCACTACAATTTATGCAGATTTTAAAAAGAAGAAAGTAATTTTTTTTATTTCATTGACTTTGTATTGTATGGCAGAAGTTTTTCAAAGCATTATACTTTTACTCCATTATTGATTAACCGAAGTCAAATAACATTATCATTTTGCTTAATGCATTTAAAGCACAAATATTTTCCCAGATGTTCTGCACAGGCACTTTGCAGATTTCAGTGGAAGTTGTTTACATGCTGAAACATTGAGCCTGGATAGAAACACTTTGCTGTGATAGCAACACATACCCAACAGTTTTCATTCACTCAATTCAAAAGGAAAATTGCTGCTCCTCCCTCTCCTCCAAATTCTCTTTCTCCAAGAAATATTCCTACGTCACTGGAAAAAATTACAAGCATGCTCATAATGTCTGCATTTCTCTGTCCATTTTCAGCTAAGCCCTGGTCCAAAGTATCCTGAAATAATTTGGATTATTTTTTACTGGCTTCATGGGCTCTTATTTAGCCCTGAGCACACTGCAAAGCTCGTTTTACTTTTCCATAGGTGCAGTGCTCGGTGGTGCTGTGAGTGACGTGCGCTGGCACCGGGGAGATCTCCTGCCCCACCAGAGGCTGCAGTGGCCCACTGTTGCCTTTGAAATGTCCAGTTATACCTTGCTTTAACACCAAAGTGATGTGACATGAGGTAAACGTGGAGCCTGTGCTGTATCCACATCCTGCGGCGCTGGGACACCATTCCCGGTGGGAGCTGCCTGTTGTGCAGCTGCACGGGCAGGGATGCACAAGTGTGCATCAGTTCTGTTTTCTTGCTGATCAGCAGCTTTGAAAATGGAAAGAAACAATCAGGGCAAACTCCACCTTCAGTTTAAAGCCAAGTACAGCTAAAGGAAACATCAACAGAAATGAATGTGAAAGTAGCACAATTTTTGTCCAAGGATGTTTAATTTGTCCAAGCCTGCTAGCAAGTTCTGGTTGTTTTCTGAAGTGAAGGATAACTTAGGTTAAAGGATAAAAGGAAGGAAAAAAGAGAGATTGCCCAGCCTTTACAGAAACACAAGTATCTAAATTGACACTCAGAATTACATGTATTTCAACATGGGCTCAAGATTTGCTGTAATACACTTGTCTGCTGTAATTGACCAAAACTCCTATAGATTTATCTGCCACCATTCTATAAGGGAGAAAGTCTGTTTACAGAAGGATGATAATTATCACTAGCTTTATCCATATTCTGTCAGTGCTCAAGGCATGGTAAGCAGTAACCAAATCCTCTGGCAGTCTGTGCAGCAAAGCACCTAACATGTTAACCCCAAAATCCCCAAATACATGATTAGATTTATGTATATTTTAAATATTTGTCACATACAATTAAGTGCACCCATCTGGACATCTCTTTTGTAAAACAAATATGTATTGTTTATGTGCACAATCTATTAATTTCCTTGTGACCCGCAGGAACAGGAGGAACGTGAAGGGGGGTTAAAAGAGGAGAAGTTCTTCAGGACAAGCTTCCCACAGGTGATGAGCAGATAGGAGCAGGGTAAAGATTTTATTTATTATATATATATATATGTACACACATATCAGGGCAGCAGTGCTAATCCCCTGATCAACAGTCCATAAAGCAGAATTTTCCAAACTGAGTTCTGATTTCCAGGCCCTGAATATTCTTCACTTCCAAAATTAGGAAGAGGAAAATAAGAAATGGTACAGCTACTTACTATTTCCTTAAATGTAATGGTCAATTCTTATGATTCCTGGAACATCAAAATCAATTCCAAGATTAAGTACTTTTAACTACCATCAAGAAAATTGTAAAACAAGAGATTTATTATTTATGTACTTTGTGCTAATGCAATGTATGTCTGTTATCAGTACAGTATGGGTTATAGCACTAAAATAAACCAGTCCACAGTAACTATACCCTTTAGGTTTCACAAATATTGCCAGCAGGTACCCTGGCACTTTGTTTGCCAGCATTAACTTCTCTGTTTTGTAAATACAAATATTTGGTTAAGGCATCTGCTCAGTCAAGAGCTGTGACTGCTGACCCAGGTAGAAGTTTTCAGACCTGTGCACAGTAGAATCGCTTCTAAATGACTGCAGATACAATTCACCATCAGCTGGGTAATTCCTTACATAATTATGATGATTCAGTCATTGAACTAGCACTAAGGTTAGATACCTGTACTTGAAAACGAGACCAATGACTTGTTTTGAACAGAATTTAATAAAAGAAAATGCAGAACTTGTAGGTTCTGATTATTATTATGAATACTTGGGTCTGTTTGGAAAACAAATACAATGCTTTGCAATTAGACCCCTGATCTATGAAAGCACTTGTGCAACTATATAACAGAGCATATGAGTAGTCACTTCAATGAAATTGCTTCTTTTATACATGAATTATCAGCTCATTTTAAATTATTTTCTGGATCAAGGCCTCTCTTTTACAATCAGAGCAGCAGAGTTACAATGATGTAGCAACTCCAGTTTGGAGAAAAATACCATACCAAAGGGAACTGCATCATAAAGATATTCCTGGAAAGAGAATAAATGATACCTAGAAGTGTCCATATAACTGCAGGACAAATATAATTATCTGTTCACCTTTTTTTACCTAGAGGATTAAAACAAATTTAATTTGAAACCTTCTAAGAAAACTCTCCACTACTTTGTTTAGGGGCTGAAGATGTTAATTCTCCAAGAACTTGGACAAAACCCACTATTTAAAATACCACTTCTGGTTTTTAACTGAGGTAAACAGAATGCATTCCAAATCTCCAGTGTAGGCTATTGAAGTGTCACAGCAGCTTGTTCAAAGCAATACATTCACTTCTCAAAGATTTTAGTATTATAATCGTAAATTCTCTCCTTCCGATGCACCTGAGAAGCATTAACTTCTTGGTGACTTTAAGAACCAAATCCTTTAATACAAACCTAGCTTTTCCCACAGGCGCTTGAAAATATTTAGCATTTTTTCAGTTGGATGCAATTTTCATAATAAAGTAGCTCACTTGGCTACCTGACACCACAGACAAAGACACCGAGTGAGCAGCTCCTGCCAACTTAGAGCATGATCACAACCCTCAGCTACATATTAAGTAGGCATTGAAATATCCAATTGCTGTAACAATGCAAGTAATTTATGTATTATATATTATTGTTGTCTATTTTTTCATTATTCATAACATATGTATTTTCTTCTGTAACGTCCAGGCACAAGTCTTTCATACCCCATGTCTTTCAGTCAGCCTTTACAGAGCATACAACAGTTCTTACAATTATGTAACATTTAAATTCCACCTCTCTGACCAGTTTTAGGTTACCAAAGCAGCCCTTTGGTACTATTCTGGATACCACTGGTCTATCCCTATGGACCCTGCTCCCTATATTTGTCCAAATTTCACTGGCAAACCTCACAGAAATGTATGGGAATGACATATATTTTTTTTTCTGCAGCAAAATACTCAGCCCCAGCCTATCAAATCAGAAATGTTCATAGTTAACTGCATTTCTGGCAGTTTCAATGGTACAATTGTAAAACTATGGTATATTTTGTCAAATCAAACCCTACAATGAACCAAATGATCCTGGTTTATTTCCATCCACTTAGCCTATTAATGCAGGCTAATACTGCATGTTCTTGTGGCAGCAAACCCTAAAGTGTACCAGGAGACTCCGGTGATAGATTACATGTACATGCTGTGTCATATCCAATTAACTCAAATTGACTGTGTACTGCATTATGCTGTTAGTGCATGGAAGATCAATAAATATGGAGAAAATCCAACGAGGCGCTCTCCATTCCCATCCAATTCTAGTAGGTCTGAGACAGATCATGCTCCTGTGATGTGTGTGCTGCTGCTGAAGAGGGCAGGTGGTGCATAGACACCATTCAAACTTGGCCTATTCAATCTAAACTCCTCTAACTCGCCATTCATGCATAGCAAAACACCATCTGGTCCTATTTTGCCTCCAGCAATCACAGCTGACCAAAAACGATAATAACAGCTGTTGCAAAACAAAAGCCAAACAAAGGGGGGAGGGAAAGGTTAGAATGCAGTCCAGTGCTGCAAAATACTCCATGAAGTGAGAAATGGAAAAGGAGCCATTCAAATAGGAATCCCCATTGAAAAGAGTCAGTGCAAGACTTGTGGTTAAACTTGAGATATTTAATCCATCTGTCCTGCAAACCACAATGGTCAGGTGATAATATAAAATTGAGATTATGTTGCACAGCGGTATTTAAAGGCTTTGTTCTCCAAGTTAGAAACTAATGACCCTGTGTCAGCTAAAAATTAAACCTCCTTATGTTCTTTCATCATGTGTCAACCTGGGTTAATGTGAAAGTAGAATGTGGTTAACCGAGGTGATAAAGCATCTGAAACCTTGGGAAAAGAAGGGAGCAGATAAGTGCTTGTAAATGCTATGAAGAAAAACATTCTTAAAAACCATGCACGACACTGAAACCATACAGATTATTGCATTTTTCTTGTATAAATTGTGTATCAAGCGATTTAAACTAGCAGTTTTATTTATGACCTATGATAGCACAGTTATTCACTTAGTCTTAGGGAACATGAACACAAACTTGCACAGTTTGAAA